TGAAGCTGATCCTCTCCAAGACAAAAACTGCTAATTAACATCCTAGAGCTATTTTCAGTATGCTTTCATTCACTGTGTAAGAGTGCGGAACTCCCTCTAGTGGCTCACCTAATTCCCTTATCAGCACAAGGACGTGGATGTTGCCTGCCTTGTGTAGACTGAACTTACACTAATACCACAGAAATCTGCCTCCTTGACAAAAAACCCAATCATGTTCACATTTTTATCTCATAGCACACTGCCCTGCAGAAAAGAGCACTAAAATATTTATATCCACAATTTCACCATTGCATACACCTCTCAAATACTCTGCTAGACACAGAGGTGGATAATAGCTAGATTATCTAAAAGAAAAAAGTTAGAAAGTTTCCTATCAATAGAAAGATGGTTACTGGACTGCTTAAATGTCTAACTAAAACTTATTTTTTGTATCTTTATCTTCTCCCAGTAACTCTTTTGAAGATGACTTTCTCCATCTCAGAAGAATTTGTTTTGAAAAGATATATGTAAATGAACATGCATGTTCATATACACACTTGTTTAGCTTTTTAGGCATGATGATGTATTCTTTGGTGCTTAAAATGCTCAAGGGGCTCTTGATTTGCCATTCATTTGATATTTACTATTTTTATTTCCAACCTTGAATAAATAATTGTATCTAGCCCTCTTCACAGACTATTTGCTATACTGGAAACATGAAACTAACTCTTGTTACAGGAGGGTTTCCAAGGGTGAGGTTTGGGGTTCTAGAAAAGGGGAAGCTGAAATCTTGGTTGTCTTGGTGGAGACCATGTCCCTGAAGAGCCATGTGGGGCCTGGAGCTTTGAGCCAACACACCCTGTGACATGTTGGGCCCCAAAATATGGGGCAGTGCCTGGCATGAGGTGCCAGCTGGGGTGGGCACAGCCACAGGGCTATGCAGTGTGACCTGCCAGCAAGTTGCCTCCCTCCCATAACCAGTGTTGGATTTAAATTGGCTCAAAGCCTCCAAGTGGCTTTACCATTTTCTTGGGCATCGCCTTCCCATGCTTCCCATTTCAGACCTGGCAGCCTTGGCCTCACCACTTTCCTTTAGGCAAGCTCTTGGCTGTCTTTTTAGGCTTGCCAGGTTTCACCCTCTGGGGATTATCACTGGCTTTCTTGGGCACAGAGATTGCTGCTGTCTTCCCCCAGGCATTTTCCATGGCTTCAGCTTTCTTGCGCTTCTTCAGGTAGGCTGCTGCTTCCTTTGTTGCCTTCTCCTCCACTTCTCTGCGTTTCTCAGGGACAGAGTATCACCATAAAATACGTCCCAGCTGGCAGCTGGGGTCATCAGTCCAGCCCTGGGCTCTGCTCTGGGTGAGGGGAGAGGCCTCATGAGCAAGAGTCTGTGGCACGACTCACACACTGACATCAGGTCTGGCACCTCGGATCAATCCACAGGCTGCCAGCAGATCCCACAGCCCTTGTGCAGGAACAGGAGAGATGAGCACAAGCTTCTTGCCAACCCTTTGAAGCCCTTGTGTTTTTGCTGAAGTAACAAACCATCAATCTAGCTGTAATTTCTTGGCTCTGAATTTAATTTTAGGCAGTATAAACTCTCTAATTTGATGATGAAACAATGTCATTTTCCTAGCCTGGTATATGCACAGAAGCATGGTGATGAAAAACTAGCATAATATATTATCTTCAGCAAATGTAAACCAAAAAGAAGAAAGATGTTACTCACTCTCTGTGGTTGTGTAAATGTTCACCATGCTCTTTGCAAGATTAATGCTATTTGCTCGGGCCAGTGCCTGAGCAGCAGGAGAATGATCCCAGTCTTTCTCTGGAATACACAAAAAGCCAACATGGTAAATAAATATACAAATGGGCAGTGGACCAACAAGCCCGTGTGAGTATGTGCCTCGCTTTGTCACTATCTAGAACACATTGCAGTTACATTGCACAGAGCTGCTTCCCAATCATTTGGGTGCTCTGATGTCTCCCCTGAGAAAACCTCTTCACACTGTGTCAGGAAATGTAAATACCAGATTAACCCAGTCCCCAAGACAGACCAACTCTTGTGAAGGGCTTCCAGTAAAACAGAACCATCTGCTAATATCATCCTGAAATGAATGAATTAATAAAGGAAAAAGCCCTGAGAAATACTAGTATAATCTACTGTATAAATGGTTGGACTTAATGATCTTAGATGTCTTTCACAACCCAAAATATTCCATAAAGAAAATATTTGCAATGACCTGAAGTGCAACTCTGGATTTTCATAGGAATGTTATATGAGGTAGGAAATAAACCAAGAAATTACACAATTAAAAATAAAAACCAGATGAGTCTGTGGAAAATCCTCACAAACAGGTCTTACCTAGGTACATGAGGACAGAACATTTAGAAAAAGAAGGTAAGATGCTCTCTCTTCATAGGTCCTTGCTTGGAAGAGAGCAGAGCTGTGGGTAATCAGAGCCCAAATGTAAAGTGAGTTGCAAATAACAATAACATTTTCTCCTAATAATAGTCACTACAAGAGCCCATCAAGCCCGGAGGAAGAGGCTGCTCAAATGGTGATGTTATTGGCACCATCCTGGTTGAAAACATGGCATCAGAACACAGAAACATCAGACTTCTTGTCTGCTTTGCTTAAAGTTTAATATCAAAGGTCCCTTGTGCATTCCAAAAAGACACAAAAAAGTCATTTAGGCACTGACAGCCAGTGGCTCTATCAAGGTACTCTAAGATCCAGTGTATTTATTGAGCACTTTGCTTCACATTTTATTTCTACTATTTCTTTTAGACTTATCTTTACTAGCACAAAGAATTCCTCCAGTCCCACATTTGAAGAAAATACAATCTTGCCAGTGAGTGAAATAAAGTGACCTCCTGTGATGTGTTGTAGGCAGTGCAGGACTGTCCCAAGGTAAGTTGCTTGCAGGTAAGGCACAGGGGCTGGGAGTGGGGAGAAAAGCAAGGGAACATGGCACTGTCCCCTTCTGTACTCGCACTAGGCTACACAAGATTTGTTTCTAGAGCTGTTTGTGGAACACATTCTACACAAGGTAACTCCATACAAATTGCAATACAGAAGAAATGGACAGATTAAGAAAATGTGCAAAATGCAGAAGGGTTAGGGAAGAAAACAGGCTTAGGGATGGCTCTCTATTTGGATTTCACAGGATACAGTCACAGCCTTCAGTACCTGAGTAAACAGCTGAGTCTGTTCCCTGAACAGCTTCTCTCTCTCCAGATGGTTCAACCAAATCAGATCTTTCCTCTTTCTCATCATCGCTTCCACCATCTGTGAGCACAGGCTCAATCAGTATCTGCACCTTGCTGGCCAGAGACTTCACTGTGGGCTTGTGCACTTCTGCCACAACCAGCTCCTCCGCAGCTGTCCCTGGCGCCAGTGTGCTCCCAGACACATCCTTGGTAGGTGACTCGAGGTGGGTGGAAAGTGCTCGCACAGGCAGTCTGGATTTCTTGGAGCAGTGCTGCAACATCTTCTCTTCCTCTGGCATCAGCAGGCTCCCATTGCTTTCACCCAGAAAGCCATTTCTTTTAACCAGGCTGCCTTTGCTCTTGGCATAAGTGGATCTGGGAGTGATGGAAACTGAGCCCTTCCTTGCAGAAGTGGCATAGCTTGGCCCCTCCTCACTAGAAGACAACGTGATTGTCCTTTTGTAGGGGGTCCTTGTTTTGATGAAGGTGCCATATTTTTCATCAGCATCCTGGCCTTTCCCAGACTGCACAGAGAGGAAGTGGCACAGCTTGAACTCCCAACTGTTTGCCTCTGCCCAGACTGGCTCTGCTGCCATGCTCCCCACTGCCACTGAGTCTGCTCCCTTCTCCCAAAAGTTCTTCAAGTTCTTGAAGTGTTCACGGTCAAGACCGATATCCTCCTCTCTGTTACTCAACGACGAGATCGTGTAGTTCATGCCTCGCTTACCAGCCCAGCTGCTTTCCTCTTCTGTGGGCAGAGGTCTGGAGAAGGTTCTGCTTGGTTTCTTTGTAACTGGTATTTTGCTGGGAGCGTAAGTTTCTTTGGGTGGAGTTTTTTGCCCCTCTGTAGTGCCAGTGGCCCCATCAACAGCCTCTCCTCCAGCTGCAGTACTGGGCTGAGGCACAGCATCCTCTGAAAGCTTGGTGAATAATGGAGATACTCCATGACCTACAACAACAACAAATGCTCAGAGCCTGTCCAATCACATACAATCCCCCCAGATTGGGCTGCAATTTCTCAATGAGCAAATGGGGAAATTTTCAGAAATCATCAATATATTCCTAGTTATTTTCCATATTCAGACTCTAGAAAGCTCCCTTCCATCTGAAGAAAGTCCTGAAAACCCCAGTCCTTCTCCCTGCAACAGGGCACAGAAAAAAAACACTGAGCACAACTGTTGCTGCGAGTTGTGGATTTGTTTGCAGGTTCCCTTTCAATTTGACAGCTTCCCTATTAGCTATTTGCTATGTTCCAAAACTACACTATACAGTCAATGCCAGAAAGACAGGGTAAGTCCTCTTTTGTATTAAAGAGCTGAGAGCCAAGCACTCAGTTTAATATGTACTGAGAGCCCAGTGAAGTTTCAGTCATCAGATTGCTTTCTGCCTTGGTCCCTGCTGCCCTGGCTGTAATTCACAAAGCACTGGCAGCCCATTCTTATATGCCAAGGTACTCTTTGTTACTTATTTATTTATACACACACTGAAAAGCATCTTGTCTCTTGGTGTTTGATGTTGAGTTAAAAAACACCAATAGCTCACTGAACAAAAAACTTACCTTTTCTAGACAAATGAAAGCTGTTTGTTGCAGTCACAAATGGACTTGTTCCAGTGTCACTCTCTGAGGAAAAAACATCATGGATGCTGGATCTCTGAACAGAAAAAAACCCCAAATCTATCAGTGTATAAATACTGTAAGGACTGGAAAAAATGTATTTTATTTGAGCAGAGACACCAGGGCAGGCAGCCTGTGGAGCCTCTATCAGTAGTAGCCTCTGTGTGAAGCTCCAAGGAGTAACACAACAAAGTGCAGAGGCTGGGCTTGTACTACCTTGTATGATGCAGACAACTGGACAGGAAGTCCTGGCAAAATTTTCTGCTCTGTGGTGTCAAGAGCAGGTGTGCTGGATCTGTGGGAGAGGAGAAATGCCTGAACAAGGAGGTCTGTGGTAGTGATGTGCCTACTTGGGTACTCAGGCAGTCTTCAACATCACCTCAGCTCTGCTCAGCTGCAGAACTTGCTCAGTAAAAACAATGTGGGTTAACTACTTAGGTTTGTTCAGACTTTCCCCTTCTGGGAAGTGTCAGAAGAGCCCAAGGGCCAGGCAGAAAGGAGAGACATTCCTATGCTATGGCCCAGGAAGGAACAGGACACACCTTGCTTAAAACTGAATGAGGAAAACAAAGCTAGATCTTCAGGATTTAACCAACACCGACAAAAAAAACATTGGGTGTTGTGCCAGCAAAGCAGGAGCACCTAGGGCCTGTTGCTTCTGGATCCTTCATTAAACAACACCCACTAATCAGCTGCAAGAGGCTTCCAATTGTTGTGAAGGCCCATATTTAATATTTAACTGGAGCAATTGCCACCTGTGGAAAACGGTTCCTCATTCTGCTGACAAAAAAAGGCAAATGAGATGGGGGAAAAAAATATGAATATGGGAATATTTTAAATGCTTTTTCATAGTCCATGGATATTAAGCAAGGTCACTGACTTGCTCATTGGAGTGCTTAGAACAGACGTTTCTGCTCAGTCAGCACAACGTGAAATCCTACCAAGCCTTGATGGAGTGCTGAGCGCTGGACACAGAGGAACACCAAGAGGAAATGAGCAGTTTCCTCAAACAGTTCATTTTGTTAGTGTTGCTCCATAGTAAAAATTAAACAAATAAAACCATAATTACCTTGAAAAACTAACCAGCATATCCTGACATTAGAGACAGCTTCCATTTTACTCATCCCTTATCAAATCAAGCAGGAAAATACCTCTGTGGGATAAGCACATTAGCGCTTGATTATTAGGGGTGGATTGATATTCTGACAATTCCTGGAGGAAGGACTTAAAAAATATCCTATCGAACTTATTATTTATACAGTCTCAGAAACTCAGTTAGAGACCAGGGTTCAATTGGTAGCATTCAATTTTCATTATATGTAATAGGAGCAGCCTGAGCATTGCCACACACACAAGTGTTACCTTCCCTCTCCTGCATCAAGAACATCCTCAGGAAACACAGGACTTGGGGCAGCTTTGCTTTCCAGACCCATCTGGATGTGCTTGCTGGCCTCATCTGTAATACAACAGAGACAACTGAGAAATGACATTTCATTAAACTTGTAATGTTTGGTGTGTTTTTTTTGGGGTAAGAAAATGCTTTGCCCAATGAAAAAGAGTCCCACCAGCACAACCCCTAGGTGTTTAAGAGCAGAGGGGTTCTGCCTGCTCTCCCCAAGGATGGGGAGCCCCCAGGGCATTAAAGGCACTTCCAGACCCCACAGGTCCAAGAGGCCAAAGGTACCCAATGCCTAACTTGTGCCAGGAGCTGTCGCATCACCGGAAACCTCCACAGGACACCGCCATTGACTGTCAATAAAGTTAATCCATTCCAGGATTTAAATTCAGCCATTTCCTGTTTTGACTCAAGTCATCTGATCTTGGCAAACAAATGAGGAGGCCAATTCAGTTAATGAGACAATGTTATTTTTACTGGCACAAGGCCCAGCTGTGTCCTCTAAGTTCCCAAAGACCCCCAGTTAAAAACAGTAAAGGACAGTAACTTTTACAGCAGACAGCAGGGTATAATGCTGCATTAGATATTTTGTTAGCAACTGGGTTTTCTTGCTACTGTAAAATGAAAAGGATTAAACTCTCAAGCAGTGAATAAAAAGTACGCTTAGTCTGGTCAACAAGAACTGCACGTATTTATTCATGCAGCTAGGTCTATTTAAAAGAGAAAAATCTACCTGTTACAAGAACTGCCAAACCATTTAAGGATATATTTAGTTAAACAATACAAGAGAAAAAGAAGTTCAGAGGATTCAGAAGTAGTATAAAATAGTACAACCTTGCTTGTTATCTGGTTGGAAAACCACATGAGGCCAAAGAGCAGGCCAGTCCTATGGTGAGAAGACTCAAGACTCAACACTGCCTGTATGGTGCCATCCAGCATTAGCACAGTCAGCCTGCAAGTCACAGAAATATCCCAAGATTCATTCCCCCTTGCCTGTGCATTCCTATGGAGAAAAATACTGCATTCCCAATCTTCCTGCCCACCCAGCACCTGGCCCTGAGGTGCAGGGACACAGCAGCCGCTACTCAGAGCTGTCTGCATTATGGCAGCATGTCTGGCACACATGGGAGGTGGCAGCTGGGAGGCCCCATGGTTTCCACAGCAGTGGGAAGTCAGGGATTTGCTCCTGTTGAAAAACAAGAGTCTGGCTGTGTAGGAACAAGCCAGTTTTAGAGCGCATTTTTCTGAGAGAGAGACTGTTTTGCCCATGCCAACACTGATGTGCACAAAGCATCACTGAACATTGTTTTAGGAGAGAGAACCCAAGGCATGGTGTAGGCTATGGCATGTGTGGGCACAGGAAGACACACTGAGATTTATTTATACAGTGAGCCACATCCTCCTCTTCTGCCTCAGACCTGGGAGAGGGAGGCACCAGCAGGTAGCTGTGCTGGAAGAAAAGGAACCAAACAGCTCCCAAGCTTTCCCTTTGCCTGTCATGGTTGAAAAGACCTTGACAACCAAAGACTGCATTCATTTCTCATCCCACTTGCAAAGGCACTGTCGTACTTGCTCTTCATTGACACCTGAGAGGAATGATGAGTTTGTCTTTACAAACAAGCTGTGGTTCTGCTGATAAGACGCAGCTATCAGTGAGAGACAACAGAAACAATGGGATGGATTCCACTAAAAGATCAAAGAGGCACTGAAAGGGTATCATGAATTCCACAAAAGTTAAGAATTAAGAAGGGAATATGCGTGGGGGGGGAAGGTATCCCAGGTATCAGGCGTTCCAGGAAGCCTGTACCTCTCAAGTACCTCAGCCTATGGGGAAAGGGAGAAGGGACAAGCGGCCGGGAATTAGGATAAAAAGGAGGCTGCGCCCTCCAAAAATTTGAGAGACCCCCAGGGGAATGCCCCATGGCCTCTCCCTTTATTTGAATAAAGTATAAGGACTCCTCTGTCTCCTTTTTGGACATAAACCTCTGGTGTTTATGGATTAATTTTCCTGACACACCTCACCCTAGAAGAGCTCTTCATTGCTGGCTGGCAGAGGCAAAAGCAAGCCTTCACATCGAAATCCCTGTCCTGAAAAATGGCTCAGCCAGTGACACAGCTGCGCCTGGCTCCTATCACCACAAATAGTTTAGTACATTATAATCAAGACAAACAAGATATGACTTTGCTAACTTTAGGATGAGACAATATAAGAAGCAAATTCCAACAGAAATTAGAAGTGGCCTGACCAGTTTAACTTGCCCATACATGTATTTTTATACATGTGTATAAAATTGACAGGCACTCCTGCTCTAATATTTTTACTCATTTCCTACCACTGTAAAACAAAGATTCTTAGTGGGATATTCATAACTAACTGAGCATCAGGTCTCACTTGCCACAGCAAGTGGATAAAATGGTCTCTCCTCGTAGGTGATTTTTAGCCCTCAATATTGCACTTAAGAACAAGAAGTTATCAAATTCATCTGTGTTGTTCTGCAGGCTGTAGTTTAAATATAGGGTATCTATCTGTTTTATAGATTTGTATTACTGTCAATGACTAGTGTTTTCTACTACAATCCATACCAACCATGAAAATCCTTAGGGATCCCCACAACCCTCCTTTCTGAAGGCTAAAACCCTCCTTCAGAAAAGATCACTGGGAATTTTCCTTTGCAAGTACAAATTTCCACCCCTCCTCAGCCCACTTACCTTGCAAAAGGAGCGCCAACAATTATCTCAGCGGGGCTTTCACATGCAGGAATTTTCTAATTTCACTCTCTAACACAGACTTAAGTCTAAAGACTTAAATAAGGTGTTATGAACAGAGGTTTGACTAAATGAACATGCACCCCTTCATCACCTTGAAAGCAAGCAGAGGTGAGCAACTGATCTTTCCAGAGGAAGGAAAAAAGGCAAGCAAAGGAACTTAACTCATTTAAGGTGAATATATTAGCTGCAGAATCATGATGCACAACCAGTGATGTAAAATGGCAGTGGAAAAAGTAAGAGGAAGGAATAAAGTCACATGTTATATCTGTGCTTTATAAAAATAAGTCTGAGAACACATATAGAGGGAAAAGGGGAAAAAAAGTTGGAAAAGGAATAAAGGCTGAATCTAGACATAACTATTATAGCAATTTAATAACATTTGCTTCCTCCTTCTTAAAACAGCATCAGTCAAGTAATGAATATGCAATGAGTATCTTGCTGCATTAGTAATGAGATTATTTTATATGATGACCTGAGACATCATCTGATAGGTGCACATCAGCCCTAAAAGTTAAATCTACAACCAACAGTACTTCAAGCAGTATTGCTTTCCTGAAGTGGGCAGAGAGCTAAGAGTACAAGGCAAAGGTCAGACAATCCTATTCACTGCAGTCTGGGCTGCAGGTGACAGAGCATTTGCCTGACCTAGGCCCTGGCAGAGAGGCTGCTGAAGCTCTGCCCCTTCATGTGAAGAGGGTGAAACCACAAATGCACATCCTTAAAAAGAAGAACATGCTCTGCAGAAAAGCCAGGCACCTTTGCCAAGATGGAAAATGTTTTATATATTTTAGCATTCTGGAGGTATGATAAAATAATAAATTTAATGACATCATGAATCCATAATACCAAGGATAAAAGCAACTTCATATGAAATATGATGGGCTAGTTCTGCATTAGAGGCTCCAATCAATCTATGCTAAGTTATGAGAGCTGTCAGGGGAAGGTAAAGAGCAAAAAGAAAATGAGGCTCTCAGTCAGCATTTAGCTTTCAGAATGTGTCTAAGCAATGTGAAGCAAAGAAGGGTACCCTAAATCCAGGCAATTCCTGCAACAGACACATCCTGGCTCAGGAGGCTCACCAAACAAAGGAGTGATCTATACTGCTGCTCCTCCCAGCAGGAATGGGAAGCTGGGCCCAGGAATGATGGCTGAATTGAACTGCTGGAGATAACATTTGAGTGCTGGACAGATGCCTTTCTGCCAGGGGCAGTAGCCTTTACTGCAAAAGAAAAGACCCAAACCATGGGGCCCTTATGTTAGAGATAGTGGCAGGCTTTGCTTAGAGCTGCCTGTCAGGTCCAAGGCTTCCTCAGGGCAGCAGCAGCTGGTAACTTCCCCAGCCATGGCGTTGTGTGACACTGGGCTGCGGGGTGGCTGGCCTGTCCTCATGTTGAGGACTGGATGTGAATCATCCTCAGTTCTGCTTTGCACAGATGTTCAGCACAAAGTTCCAGCTACATTTAGACTCTAAGCACAGTCCTGCTTCTTTAGCACAGATGAGAATCCCCTTTTCACAACACAGGGACTGGTTCTCAACAGACTCCCAGTACAGAGAAACTCCATCCTGAACCAATTTGTTTTCTTAAGATGTACACTAACATACTTACTTTCTAGTTTGCCCTTTTTTCTTCTAATTGATGCCCAAAGTAGATCAGGCCCCTCCAAGTCTTCCTGAAACCGTTTTGCCTTCACTTCTGAAAACCATTCACCTGTCACAAACTTCTTCTTCTTTTCATCCTTGATGGAGCCTTGAATCCGCCTGAAAGTCAGTGCAAGCATTACACACCAAAAAGATCTTCAAATTTTCAACTTCCCTTGAGCTACTTTTGTAATATGTCTATTAGCTCACCTGTCTGACACTACAAGGATCCAGAGATTATTCTCTGCAAGCACAAGAGCCAAACCAGCATTAAAACAGCAGCTGATTTATTCTTTATCTGAAATGGGAACAGCACCTCTTAAACACAGGCTTTCATCTCTTCCAAATTTCACAAATCCAAATCATTCACCTGACAAGGTTTGTCCACCTGCTTGTCTGCCCTAAGGGTTAAGGAAGGGGTGGGGCTGTTTATCTGTCTTGCACTTCTCCATTTTACTTGCCTATTAATCTTTTTATGAGCAGCAAAACCTTCTGGATCAAATTTGCTGCAAACCACGTAAATACATAATGGTATTTAGGGAAGCAACCAGTCCCTTCAGCATTCTCCCTGCACACTGCTCCTTTCCCTACTCCCCCTGCTATGCCTATTTTGGCATTCACACGGTTAGCTCTCCCTCCTAAGCACAGCTTCTCCTAGTGTACCTTGCTTGGGCACACCCAGGTCTGGTTTTTGGCACCTAAACCAGTCAGGGCTCTGTTGCCAGCCCATACTCTAACCCTCCTCACCATGGGTTGCTGAATTAGCTGCCTTTCAGCTGGTACAATTCACCTCAGTTCAGGGTCCCTGTGAAACCTGAGAGCCCAGAGGAAGCTGCCACTTCAGCCCAGTTGTCAGCAGGAAAAGGGGAAAACCCCTCAGATAACCCTGGAACCTTGAGGGGTCACATTTGGCTGCCTAAAGGCCAGGAGGGAGAAGGGAAAATTGGATTCAAGCCCCTGCAGGCCATGCTGGGGATCCAACAGAAGTTCCCATCTAGACCAGGGCTGCACTGCCTCCATGAGGGTCTCGAGGTGCTGGGCCAGAGGAAATAGATATTTTAATCACCCTGACAGCAGATCAAGGAAATGCCATTGACTTCATTTTGCCCAGCAGGCAGGTTGCATTGGAACCAAACATGTCTTTCTGACCATGTCTTACCGCCAAACTGACAGCAAGGAGCTCTGGGCAGGATCTAATTCACCTCACTCCCTAATCAAAGCCTCCTGTGCAACAGCTGTCAAAGAGAAGTCAAACAAAACCAAAATAATCCCAACACTCTTTTTACCAAATCTCCACTTCAGAGGAGAAATTTACTCCATTTTAGAAACAAACAAACAAAACTCAAAAGAAATAAAAAACAAACCTTTTTGAAATTGTTTCAATTCAGAGGAGAGGTACGAGCATGCAGACACATACACCCCAAGTCCAGGCTTCTGGCTTCCCCAGTTCCCACCTCCAAGCAGAGGCCAGGCACACAGGTTCCCAGGAGCCTGCAGCAAAGCTTCCTGCTCTCCCTTCAAGCCTTGAGCATCCTTTTTGTACAGGGCTTACTCTTTTTATTTGGCTCACCAGCAAATCGAAGACTCACGTCCTTAGTTGGAGTAAACTGGCACAGTGCCATCCACACTCACTGAGTTACTAATTTCTTGCCATGGAGAATTTGGTGCCAGCTCCCTGAGCCTGGAGCATACTGTCATATATGCCCAGTTGGTCTAATGGCTGGCATTTAAAAAGCAACTACAGCAACAAGCAATCCTGATCAACCAGACCTGAGCTCCAGGATGGCCAGTGGCAGAGGAGCTGAGCAAGAATCCCTGGGTCTGCAACAGCTACCCACAAACCTCTAGCAGATCATGTAGCCTCTCATCACCTCCCTGTGTGTGATAGATGGTGCACATACACCCATCTCAAAAAGCAATGGGGCAATATAAAACAGGGAAGGGGATGTAAAATCTCATTTTAAAACAGACTATGGCCTTTCTGTGCTACTGAGTGAGTAAAACAAGATAGCAGCTACTTCCCTGCTCAGACCTCTGCCACCAAGAAACCATCATCTTCCTCCACAGAACAGGAAAGGGGTGATTGCCATTGGCATCTCTGAGGGCTGATGATTAACTCAAAAGGAGAGTCCACTCCCGCAAGGAGAGGACACCAGCAACAGAAGGATGGCTGAGAAAGACAAGGTACAATGAAAAGATCTATCAAGATCTGAGCAAAAGAGACAGTACTGCTGCAACTTGCACCTCTCCTTGTTCACACACACACGCCCTCCTCTCTCAAAGAAGTGAAAAAATCTTCCCCAAGGGAAGCTCACATCCTGCTATCACAAGCTCTCTCACCTGATGCGATCTCCATCCTTCTTCTTCAGCTCTGCATCTCTCTGCAGAACCTTCATCAGCTTTTCATACTCCTCTTCGGTCAGGAAGCTCAAGTCCAACATCTTCCCTACAATCTTCTTCAGTTCTTCAGATGGCTTAAGCAAAGACAGAGCAGGCACTAATCCAGCTGAGGCTGCCTGAGTGCCATGGGCAGCCCCTCACAGCCACCCTGGTGCTGAGCAAGCTGCTGCTGGAGAGAAAGGATTCACCACAGCATGGCTTGGGTGAAACTTGCCCTAGCACCTGGACTTGCACTTCCAGGCTCTTGGCTGGCACATCTCTCTGCACTGTCCACCGTCCCCTGCCAGGAAAATTCTCTCAGCAAAATTAGGCTCCTTTGCTTTCCTTCTTCAGTTGCAGCAATCCAGATGCCAACGTCAATCACATCCACAGGGGGAAGCACTGGAAGGAATGAACTCTTGCTGCCCACCGGAGCTGCCTCAACAGGCACAAAAGCTCATCTCACCAATGGCAACCCCAGCACCTCTGGCATGCGCTCTCCTCAACAGGGGAGTTTGCTCTGTGGAGTTCAAGCATTCCTGAAAAGAAATAGCACTGAGATGTCTTTTTATGATAAGCGTGACATATGGTAACCGAATGTGTACATTGGGGGTTTTTATTTGTTCTCCAGCACAAGTTCCAAAACAAGCTGCCCTACTTTCCTCCCTGTCCTAGAGCTCCTCATGTGCTATTAACCTAACAAGACAATGTTTTATTTTAGCCCTTTCCTACTAACAGGTAAACAGTTGATTCAGCATGCTACAAGCAAAATATGCATATAACAACAACAACAACAACAACAATAACAATAATAGATTATTTATATTATTTAATATAAAATAGTAAATATGCATATAAATTACCAAAATGCTTGCTTGCTTTTTACCTACATTCTTCTTATTCTCACTTCTTTGTGCCTTAAATGAGACTAAGGATAAGCAGCCAATTGGAAAATGATGGAACAGCAACCTGCAAGCATTTCTGCTGCATGTTATACTATGAAATACCAGAGGCTGCTCATTTTCTAATATTTGTGCCCTTTTCTTTATGCTGCACTGATATTTGCTATTCAAACACTACTGGTGCAGATCATTTTGTGTTTCAATAGACAGCAAAAATGGCCAGAGCCTGCAGGGCATGGAGGAAAGGGTAATCAAGCCTTGCCACTTCCTTTTCCTCTCTCCTGGCCAACTTGAGGGCAGTAAGGCACACCTTTGAGGGAGGAAAAGTTCTGCTCCTGTCCATGTAGGTAGTTTCTACCTCACTCAGTTTTTCTACTGTTGTCAAACCTTTCAAGTGACTGTGGGTTTTATAATACTTTGCTATTTCTTCCAAAGCCACAGTGTTGGGAGTCAGAACATTAAAAATTAATAAATCCCAGCTTTCATGGCAAACACGAACTGAAGGTCATCAGGCCCATTCCCTAATCTCAAAGCTTGTATCACCCTTAGTCTCTAATCTGTGCCTTTGAGAATACCATCCTCAGCCCTTTCAGGCCACCTATTTCAGTGCTTTGCTGTCAGCAAGAAGCACCCCTGATCTCCCTGATAGGTGTCAGCCCATCCTAGCTAACACAAGAATTACCCCTTTGCAGCCATCCTCACTGGGCTTGACACCTTAGCCTCCATGTTAATCAGCCACAGCTCCTTCAGATTCCTCAAAATGGACATTTTCATCACTTTTGTCACTTCTTTGACTGTCTACAATGGTGCATCTCTTTCATCAAGTGATACATCCAGAGCTGAGAAGCAGTGCTTCGCTCTGAGCTTCGCTCATTTGACATCATTTCACAGAATCACAAGGTTGGAAGAGATCTTCAAGATCATCGAGTCCAACCGATGCCTTAACACCTCAACTAAACCATGGCATCAAGTGTCATATCCAGTCTTTTTTTAAACACATCCAGGGATCATGGCTCTACCACCTCCCCAGGCAGACCATTCCAGTATTTTATCACTCTTTCCGTGAAGAACTTTTTCCTAATGTCCAACCTAAATTCCCCTTGGTGCAGCTTAAGGCTGTGTCCTCTTGTTCTGTCAGTTGCTGTCTGGTGAAAGAGACCAACCCCCACCTGACTGCAACCTCCTTTCAGGAAGTTGTAGAGAGTGATAAAGTCTTTCACGGACTTACCTTATTTTACAGATGATACATTCACAAATGTCTGCTTTTCTTAATGGTATAACATGTCAAAAGAAAGAACAGGCATCTGACCATAATGTTTACAAATAAATATCACAGAACACTGCATGAAAAAGCTAATAAAAGGAATGGCATTGTCATAAAAACTAATATTTTTTTTCTATAAAATTGTTGGAAGAAAGGAAACAACATTTCCTGTTTATTTAAGGCAAGAAAGGTTGTGCTTGTCACACTACAATGATAGCCTTTATCATCTGAGAAACTACCAATAACACTCTAAATAGTTTAAACAGAAACAATAATAAAAAGCCCCAGTGAATCTCTCTACTACTTAAACTTACATTTCATCAAACTTGGCATGGCTCTTTCATGCTTAGTTCCATCTACTCTTCTGTGGAGTTCAACCTGGCCGGAGGCACAAGCCAGCTAACTATTGCCTTGGAAGAGTCCCCTATCCATCTGAAGCCATGGGAATCTTTCATCTGAGTTAAAAGTCTCTCCCAAGATATCCCTCTGTTATGTTAATTAAGTTACGTGTCAGTTGCAGACTGAATATTGTTGCTCCCTAAATGGTTAAGCTACTATAATGTTCGTTCCCTAAGGTTATATATTGTTGTGCCTTCCTTTGTTTTTGTCTTTGGCTGGTCACCCCCAAAGGACTTCTCTCCCTGGTTACTGTTGGGCTTTGGGCATTGTCCCAGTTTTCTTTCATTCTTTATTAAAGCATTATTTTCCTGGTGCCAACCATAATTCCTGCTCCTATTCATTTTTCTTGCCACGGACCCCAAGGTTTGTTGCAGCCACCCTCATTGCGACACTCTTTAGCTCTCACGCCAGACAAATGTCTTCTACAAAGACATTCACAGAATTTTCTGGCACAGATTTTATTTTTGTAAAGGTATCTAGGGACATATCACAATATTTGCTTCTCAAGAACTTTTATTTATTTCTAACAAACCCCATGATGTGAGCTGAAACTACTTCAGAAAATATTTTCAGTGAAGATTCATACTTATTCATCAGTATGGCAGACAATTAAAAATACAGGCTATTTCTTTGTAAAGAGTCTTTTTCTTCCTTTCCCATGAAAATGTTTTATCTTACTGAAATACCTACATTAGAAAGAAAACGTTAATAGAAACCAAACAGCCAGCTCCTTCTTTTGTTTTATGTAGTTAAAAATAAAACCATCTGATGCACCTGCTGTAGGAAAGTGAGCTGGTGCAGAAGACTGTTTCACTGCAGGAGGAGTACCGAGTAGGGGATAGCTGCTGCTGGGAGGCTCGGCAGGGTAACACCTCACCACCGATCAAGATGCGAGAGGGGCTCCACCAAGGAAGGGCACGGAGGACAGACTGACAGACCTTGGGAGAAGCCAAATGTACCTATAAGGATGATGCCATGGATGACGCCTAGGACGAGCTAAGGATACACATATGGGCAAAGCCACGGACTGTGGGAAGTGCCAGGAGGACATATAAGAACTGCTTATGAATATTAACGTAACTGATGCACCTTGAGGGTATAAAAGGCGGAGACGCCACTTTGTGAGTTGAGCCCCTGGTGAACAGAAAGTGTTACTGTGTTCCCGGTGCTGTCCCCCTCATTGCTTTGTAACTTTAATGGGTTCTAATTAAATTTTATTTATTCATTCCTGCCTGGAGTCTGAGTAGTTTCTAACACATGGGTGGGGAAGTGAGGCCTGGCTTAGAATGTGTGCATTTCATCTCCCAACACATTGTCAGTGTCCAGTATAAAAATACAGGGAAAGCTATACACAGCTAGACTGAAGGTCCCTGTAATGCACCAGCTGATCTTCAACAAGGGTTAACAGCATATGGCCAGAACCATCCTGTGCTCCAGCTTCCTTCAAGGTACTGGGCAGGGATGCCTTGAAACAAGAGCATTGTCCCTGCATTTCACAGTTTTTCCAATTCCCTTCTGAACTCACATTAATTTTAAGCATTTGCAATGTCCTCAAAGCCCTACAGTCCCACAGCCTCACTGGGTTTTAAACACAGAAGTTTATTTGTTTTGACCTGCCACTTGCTTGTTTCATTTCATATCCTCAATTATTAGAAAACCCAGTAAGGATCACGACAAGCACATGCTCCATCTTGCACATTTTGCAAACCTGTGTCCCAGCCATGGCTTCTCTTCACAGGCAAAGTAAGTTTGTTGTTTGTTCATTCCAGGTGTTACTCAGGGAGCTTTGCTCATTCCTCACACCTTTCCCAGCCCCAGATCTAGTTTACTACAAAACTGTTTAGCAGTGTCCAGGTGCAAAAAGGCTGTTTCCAACAGCTGCAGCCCTGAGGATATTCACATGTGGAACTGGTTTTGCAGTGCCAGGAAAGCTGCTGTAGGCTATGCCCAGCTGCAGCTCTTCAGCCAGGAGGGAGACAGGCAATGCCAGCTTTCACACAGGGCACAGTGAACAGCTCTGCCAAGCTTTCAGAGAGAGGAGAGCTCTCATCACCTCCAGAAAATCTCAGAAGGTAACTAATAAAAGCAGTGGAGAAGTCTACTGTTCTGGAAGCTGTTTGGGTTTTTTAAAGTAATTGTCTTTCAAATAGTTTGATTAGGTAAAAATGAAAAGCTTGCTTGGCCTTGCAGGTGTGAAACATCCCCTTTTGGAAAGGCAGATGCTGAAGGGGCTGACACCTTCTTTGTGCCGCATTTTTATTGTATTTCCAGGAGCTGAGGAACTGAGGTACAGCTCAAAACAGAACAATTTTAATGCTCTGCATAACTAACTCAAGTGTGAACTACTCAGATACCCAGTTCAGCTCAAGTCTGTTGCTGACATCTGCTACAGATACAAATCGTTTGTAAGCCATCTGCAGGGTACTCCAATCTTGGTTCTGATTTCTCAGCATGCACCTTTCCTTCAAAATGTTGCACATCTTCCTCAGCACTGGGATGTGCACAGATTAAAAATATACACCATGGGCCAAGCAGATTTCATTGACTAGACACTGAGTGGCATGTAAAGGGAGAGGAGAAATTTAGGAACTGCAGCCTGACAAATTGGTATTCAAGACCCCATTCCATCACCTAGGTGAGCATAGGACTATTTAGACCCACCTCACCATTTAGACCTCAAGCTGGACATAGGTCCATGTAACAAAGCTATTAAAACCTCCTAACACATAACAAAACCTGGACTATTCACAGCCCAATGAAAATAGCAGCTAGATGAAAAAGGCTGTTGTCCATACCTCTTTATCACACATCATGTCACAATGTAAGGAAATAACCTCCTTTTGCTTTACAATGTGTGGACACTTCCCAGTACCCTCATTAAGTCAAGACAGCCCTTGTAGGGCAATGCTACCAAGAGTAGCATTGTATTAAGAATGATGGATGTGGTCCTGGCACCCACAGTCATACTGTAGTTCCCATTAGGTGCTGTAGCTAAGAGCACCAGAAAGATTTAGTGCCAAAACTGCCATATCCATAGAGTCCATGATCAGCCATGTGCCTCACTTTGTCTCATACTGGAAAGCCCAGTCCCACTCTTCCTCCCATCTGATTTCTTCTGCAATCAGTGAAATACGCAGAGGCATTGCCATCATTATTTTAAAGGCAAGACACTGACAGCCATTGTCATAA